ATCATCCAAAGTCTTCGACATTGAAAACACAAATTATTTGTCAATTTAAATCAACATTGATGTTGTGATCTTACAAGGAAAGGGTGGGCTTCTGATATCCAATAGGGTAAGACAAAAAAAAAACATTCTATCATTGATATACGATTCGTGTACCATAATGCGTTTCAGAGCCGTTTGTAACAAGTGACTCGATAAACGAGGCTATAGCTAGACATATTCCATAAGTCATGTCAACGGTGACGCCATATTCTTATCTCGAGAGTATGGGCAATAAATACTATCGGTGTAGACTGGCATAACCAGACGCTAGAGATTACCATAATATATGTAATTCAAAATATAAACAATAATTAATGATAAACATCCGTCAAGCACGTGATTAGAGTTGTTCTAAGGTTGTTGTTTTTTTTAGACCAACACCACCCCCGCAGTTCAGTAACCTCTTCATGACCAATCTAAGGTAACTTATGTCTTTTATCAAACGAGTATCAGATTGAGTGATAAATTGGCAAAAGATATAAGAGAAAAGAAAATGAGGAAATGGATTGGTCAACTTCTAACACCACCCCCGCAGTCCAGTAACATCTTCTAGTTGTGAATCAGAAGCAGAATTCGTGACGACATTTTATCACACCAGTGTCATGTTATGTGGATGACTGGTAAAAGAAAAACAAATATATGTTGCAGCAATAAAAAGAACCTGATTTAAAAAAAACGAAACGAACCAAAAAGAGAGGGAGAGAGAAGAGATTCCTATCTATGTGGCCTTTCAATGTTTGCATTTGTAGCTAGCTGGGGTATTTCCCTAGGCTAATTCCAAAATCTACACGAACCTGCTCAAGGTGTGAAATTTGGTTGGGAAAATATTCCTGTTTATTGAACACATCACCAGGGAATGTCGGTAATTGTAACCATATTGCTTCGTGTTATAATTTGTGAGAAAAAAATAGGCGAAAAATGAATGTCAGTTCGTCCCACAAGACAAATAACGAAATTATAGAGAACGCGTGCCACTTTACTTAAAAGCAATTTATTCTACTAGCGATCAAATCAACTAGTCGCGATCTATATAGAACGTGCTCCTCACGAGACTTGCACCACGAGAATATATTCTATTTTATATGTAAAGCTAGATTGGATCCTCGGTTTTTTTTCTCGCAGTGTTTATTGTGTGTTGTCATGTCAGATATATTAGAATTTAATTCATGTACGTTCTCGCATTCTACAATTCCAGCAAATTTAATTCTCATAAAGGTATGAATATTTGTATATTCCGTCCATTTCACATTAAATGGTTTGAGAATATTGAGTAGTAAATATACATTAGGAATATAAAAAAAATCGCGTTAGGTAATGGTGTTGAACACATTTTGGGTAGTAAATATCAATTGAGAATATAAAAATCGCATTAAGTAAGGGATGGAACAAATTAATGAGAACATACCCGTGTTGAACATAAAATGTATTTTTGAAAAAAAGGTAGGATGAACAATTTAAATGCAGACACAAAAAAATTCATTATTTCTAAATACTCAACACCACCTCAAACTTTGTTGTGTGGATCCCGTTTAAAGGGACAATAACACTCTTGCTGGCTTGACAGCTCCAAAAAATAAAAAAAAATAGCCTTATTCTAAGTACTAGATGTGTTAGTGTCTTACCTGTTGTGTAAATTATCCATTAAATCCTATTTTACTTGTCCAGAGGGTTCAAAAATATTTTTAAATCCAAGTCACATTTGAAAAGCTTTACGTCGGGCTTTTCAAATCATTTAGTTGAATTTTTCCAATTTTTTTAAATTAGGTGTGTTAAGATAAAATTTGTATCATCAATTAATTGGAATATTGTAAAATAGTACAATTTGTTGACCAGAATAAAGATTGGAACATATTATTCAGTTACAACAAGAGTGGTATTGAGCCTTTAAACCAAACCATTCATTGTAAACTACGCCTCTCTTGCAAAAACGGACATAAACTTTTACTCCGTATTTCTGACAATCCATCTTGTAAATGTGGATGGCCGAATGGTTAAAGCATTCGCGTTCACTCATAAGGTCTGTCATTGAGTCAACTGGCGTGGTTTCGATTTCCCGGCTGTCCAACCTCGTGGGTTTTTTCCGGGCCCTCCGGTTTTCTCCTAATGCTAAAGACAATTGAAACATAGTTTGTGTCGAGTGGGCGTTAGCCCCCACCCCACCCCACCCCATCTGATGCCCGCTATAAAATAATAAATAATCTACCGCCTAACCATCGAAACACTACTATCTTAATGCACGGAATTAACGACACAGAAAGCTCACTCAATATTTTTAAAACTGTCCACTGGTTTTTCGGAATCACGAGACGGTTCCAGGGACAACTATAACACATTCACTGTAATTATATTTCCATACTGTTTGTTTATTAATAAAATATATATACATGTATCTATATCTGACAGGGGAGGGGGTGGGGGTAATATCGGATATGATTGTTCCCCAATCCCTAAAGATATATTTTTATATATAAAAAAAATAAAAATAAAATAAAAAGGAGAATTACAATTATATATATAACTTAAAAAGAAAAACACAAAACAATTGAATATACAATGTATATATATATACATATGTGTGTATATAACTTTAAAAAAAAAACAGACTGAAAATTGAACAATTTGTTCCCAATGGTGCTTTTTAAACGTAAACCGATTATGAAGTTTAAAAAATGTATTATCTCCCCGAACCCTAAAGACTGATATGTTTTTTAAAGACTGTATATATGTTATATGTTCGATATAAAACACAAATTAGCTAATGTGTCGAGCATATTTGTTAGAACATAGAAGTATCGAGTATAAATTGTATTTTTGAATTATGCGAATAACAACTTGGCAACATGTTAAAAAAGTCTTTAAATTAGGCAATTTGTTTCCTATATAAATAGGCGTATTTGGACTGTTCTGATATATGACCTCTATCCTAAATACAAGAATTAATATGGATATATAAAAGAAATAAGTGAATAAACTACAAAACAATACAATGAATACTTAATCAACAACATTTCATATATACATATTTACACATCGGTCACCTGTCCAACCTCGTGGGTTTTCTCCAGGCCCTCCGGTTTCCTCCCACTGCTAAAAAACCTCTACGCGCAAGCGAATTATTGAAATAAAATTGAACCATATGTTAGTCCCGAAATTACCTAGTTTGTGTCGAGTGGACGTTAAACCCCATCTCTCTCTCTCTCTCTCTCTCTCTCTCTGTCTCCGTCTAGTCGCTCGGATGTGACGAAAACGAAAAACCGAGGTCCCGTGTAAACATTGGCGTGCATGTTAAAGATCCCTTGGCATTTGGAATTCGATATAAGAGTAGGCCGTAGTGCCTCTGTCCGGGCAAAATTTTCCTCATAGCACACTGTATGGTGTATGCCCGTTTTTATACGCCCAGTCGGAGCAGAACAGTAGGACCTTAAACCCCATTTTATTTCATTTCAGTTTGCAATAATACATCCCCGTCATCCCATGGTAAGATGATCACCATTCCTATTATAATGCGACTCTGGTATCAACCACTGAAATTATTTCTACGAATACCACAAATTTGTTTCTGAATTTTACTCGGACCCGTGGACCGCCTGTAGACACCAAAGACTTCCAGGATTCCACAGGTTGGGAACACTAATGTAAAGGACGATGCCATTCCTATTATAATGCGACTCTGGTATCAACCACTAAAATTATTTCTCCGAATACCACAATTTTTTTTCTGAATTTTACTGTAGACCCCAACGACTTCCAGGATCCCCAGGTTGGGAACACAGATGTAAAGGACGTTGTCCAATAAGATGTTACGGGGTTGACCGGTCAATCTGACCGATTTTAAGACCAATCAATCTTTAATCAAAACCTGTTTTTCCCGAAATCAGTGGGCTGAAGCCATCTTTAATGAATCACGTTGTGAACTACTTTATCAAAGTCACCAGAACCATAATGACCTATGATAAATAGAAATAAAGTTATTCTAATGTTGCGCCATTCAGAAATTTACTAGAACTTAATGGGTATAATATTGAAAATAGTGATAAATTGCATTGGTACTGATTATGAATGATTGACTGCTCATTGACTTAAGAATAATTTTAATTTTTACTGGGAGTTATATACAGGGATTTATATCCTAGGCAAGACGAAAGCTAGTTTATTTATTAGTTTCGTATTTCCATGACCAGACTGGGCGGAAATGGTTTTGATCAAAGTAAGGAATTAGGGATAAATAAAGAAGCCCAATATCTGGTTGATCTATGATGTTACGTCATTAAGTACCAAGAAATACACAGAGAAACTCCTTATTAAGAGTCATTAGCATGCCGTACTTGTTTTTGATCGCGGACGGATATCATAATTAACAATAACTAGGATGTTAAAGAGCATCAAAAAGATACCGAATTATATTCCTACATCGATTATAAATCTTATCGTCTCATAACTTCGCCCAGAATCAAGTAATTTGCCTGACATTTTCAATTTATTCATTTTTCATTATCTATTTTTGAAGGGGGTTGGGTGACGGAATGGTTAAGTGGTTGAGACAAGTGGCGTGGTTTGGGAAGTAATCCATTGGGAATAGTAGCACTATCCCTACTACATTAAAAATGTCACATTGTTGCAAACTGTAATATACTTGCCCTCTGATTTCACTTCCGGTTCATTAGTCTGGTAGCCACATCTCCATATTGATGACGTATAACTTCTTTGATAGGCATTTAGTAAGGGAGCCACGGTGGCTAGGTGGTTAAGACGCTGGCTCGCTAGCCTGGAGGTCTTGTGTTCGATCCCTGCATTGGCCGAGAAAGTTCATCTGGATTTTCCAACGTGTTTGCCCAGGAAAAATACCTCTCATGGCACACTATATGGCTAATATCTTCATTATACCGGTTGGTGCAGAAAAGTGGGACGTTAAACCCCATTTTATTTATTTGCCCTAATAAACAGTAATTTATTTGTTTCAGGAAGCGCCGTACATAAAAGAGAAAGAGATGATTGGTTCCGACGGTATTAAATATGAAGGGTTTTGTATAGATTTACTCGATGAAATATCCAGAATAGTCGGTTTTAAATATAAAATAGAAAAAGTACCTGATGGAATGTTTGGCTCTAAAGATGACGAGACGGGAGAGTGGAATGGTTTAGTAAGACAAATAATAGATAGGGTAAATATCGTCACAAATGTTTTATTTATATTTTATTTTGTCCGTATTGGCCTGACAGCAAAATTGTCTAGTCTTTCGGATGGAACGATAAACTGAGGTTCTGTATGAACATTGTCTTGGGCGCAAATAACCCTTGGCGGCTGAAATTTGAAATAGGAGTAGTTCGTTGAGCCGCTTTCCAGGCATATCGTAATTCCAAGCCCGTCTTCATCAGCCCAGAGGGAGCAGAACAGTAAGACGTTAAACCCTATTTAATCACTGTTATTTGCTTTTGTTGACGATTTTGCACATGAAGAGCGGCTTTTAACTCTATGACGTCAGATATTTGACTAACCAATCAGCGTTGACGTTTCTAATGGGTTATCCACAGTAACTAAAAATCCCAGTGTTTTGATAAATCTAATAAATGATCTTGTATTTTTTTTCTAACTGAAATATGATTATTTATTTTTATTTTTTTTTTTGGGGGGGGGGGGGCCGACAACTTAATCGGAATTTTCTTTAAAGGTCACACACGCTTCTTTTAATATTTATTTTGCCAGTAAAGTCTATCTCGGTTTTGAAAAGAATTCAATTGTTTATATTAATGTATGACGAATTTGCTTACTGAAAATCCATGTGTCTTGTGACCTTGTATGTTTCAATTAGGAGATAAACACTTCTTGTTTCGCATTTAGAGGGGAGTTATTGTCCAATAGACATGTCCTGAGATCATTAGGACCCAAGATGCAGGTTCTAGTGTAAAATCTCAGGACATGTCTTTTTGGACAATAACACCCCTCTAAATGCGAAACAGCAAGTGGTTATCGATATTGTAACATGTTATTTTAGCATTTTAAAAGAAATTACTATAACAGAGAGGTGTTATTGTCCAATCGACAGTGTCTAATTGACCAATCAAAACGCAAGATTCACCCTTAAGCATGTTACAATGTCGTGTTATACTCCTTTGGTGTATGTCATGATAGACATAATAAATATTATAGACTCCTTTGGTGTATGTCATGATAGACATAATAAATATTATAGACTCCTTTGGTGTATGTCATGATAGACATAATAAATATTATAGACTCCTTTGGTGTATGTCATGATAGACATAATAAATATTATAGACCCTAATATATTCGTGAATTGACAAAAAAAACTGTATTATTATTTTAGCAGTTATAGTGCATCTTTCAATCAAAACTTGCCTAAATGAGATTCATACACAGAGCTGCCAATGAATGTGCATACTATAGCAACCAGTCTGATTAAAACACAGATCCTATTTCGTTTCGTTTTTATATAGTTCAAAATTTCGTTTTATTTGTCTTCACTACACTAGGACCTGGAACCTGCGTTCTGGATGGCATGAGGGGTTAGTCAATGAAACCATCTGTTACGGCGACTTCTTGGTGTGCGATGCACGGAACTGTGGGTAAACCACTAGAAACGTCAACGCTGATTGATTGATCAATGTCTGACGTCATAAGGTCAAAATCCGTTTTACAATCCTGACGCGGCCCCTGACATCGAAAGTATAAAAAACAAAACTATATAGATCTGTATTTTAATCAGAATGTATAGCAACAATTTAAAAAAAGGGGTAACTAGGGAACCATAACGATAATTATAAAATAACATAAAATTAGGTAAAACCTCGAGTGAATAGCCACGTCTAGACTTTTGACTTAAACACAGAAACTGGTCAGGTTTGTCCGATATCAAGAGGGGGTTTGTTTCAGTGAAGCATAGGCGAAGAGAGCATCTTATATGTTGTTGTTAAGCTATTATCTATTTACCATTACTAAACATGGCTCATGTCGCCTGTCGCATTCTCAAACTTAAGTTAAGAATCTCAAAACTGTTCGCCTTACTTTAGCTAAAATATAACCCTTTATAAAACCTTTGTTTTCTTTTAATGTATCAAATAGACCAATAGGAACGTTGTGCAATGTTTTGTGTTCCTGGATCACATATATTTCTTATAAACAGTGATTGAAAGTTGAGTAAATTCTCAACTTAAGTCTAAGAATGCTTTTTGAACTCGTAGCCTGGTCCGTGTGTGGAATGTTGTCTCTGTTCTATGTTTAACTGGTCAGTTTTTGTTGTATCGATTGCCAAAATATTAAAATAATCCTTTTCTTATCATTTCAGAAAGCTGATTTAGCTGTGGCGCCATTAACCATTAGTTATGTTAGAGAACAAGTCATTGATTTTACTAAACCATTTTTAAATTTAGGGATAACGATATTGTTCAAAGTACCCAAGGGTGAAAAACCCGGACTATTTTCGTTTTTAAATCCGTTAGCCGTAGAGATTTGGCTGTATGTGATCGGCGCGTACTTGTTAGTGAGTTTTACAATATTTATTCTGGCGAGGTTTAGCCCGTACGAATGGTACAATCCGCACCCTTGCAATCCGGACACGGATACAGTGGAGAATACATTTAATTTAGCCAACAGTTTTTGGTTTACAGTCGGAACGTTGATGCAGCAGGGTTCGGACGTGAATCCCAGAGCAGTGTCTACTAGAATAGTGGGTGGCACGTGGTGGTTCTTCACCCTAATTATCATATCCTCATATACAGCGAACCTAGCGGCGTTTTTAACTGTGGAGAGAATGGTCTCCCCTATCGAAAGTGCTGAAGACTTGGCGAAACAGACGGATATTTTATACGGAACTCTTAAAAGTGGCTCCACCATGACCTTTTTCAGGGTAGGTAACTCCATGTCATATCTATATTTAGGTAGATACTATAGCGTGTCATGTCCCGAAAGAGAAGGTGCCATCATATATTCATTTCCTTAAATGGGTCGGTATTCAAAAACCGGTTTGCTAGTAAAAATGCTTATCTGCATTATCTTTATCCGGGAAGCTATGGGGTCTAATGGTCTAAGGCGTACGATTTACATAATAAGGTCTGGAATTGGGTATAATGGCGTGGTTTCGAGCCCACACTGGAGCGTGACAAGGAGTAGGGCCGCATATCCATCCTCGTGGATTTTTCAGTTACGGACTGTTTCATCCCACTGCGAAAAGCCCCCCCCCCCCCCCCCCCCCCGGCCAACGTGAATTATTGAAATAAAATTGAACCACTAGTGTATTCCGAAATTATATAGTTTTGGCAGCCAGTAAGGCCGTATATAGCACCGCTGCCCGGACAAAGTTTCCCTTCATAGCACATTGTATGGTGTATATACCCGTCTTCATTAGCCCGGTCATAGCAGAATAGTAGGACTTTAAACCCCATTTTATTTCATATTTCTAGGATTCTAGTATAGATATATATAAAAGAATGTGGGCCTTTATGAAGGACCACGAACCGGGTGCACTGATGGATTCCTACGCAGATGGCATCAATAAGGTTCTGGAAGGAAACTTCGCTTTTCTGATGGAGTCGACGACAATTGATTACGTCATACAACGGAACTGTGAGCTCATGCAAGTTGGCGGACTATTAGATACTAAAGGTTATGGTATAGGAACACCAATCAGTAAGTATATTATATAACTTTTAACATACACCATGCAAGAGGTAACTCTACCTATTGCAGGTCTTTCATTTGGCCTGAAATGTTATATAAACTATTAATTAGACATTTATTAACTTATCCAAACCATATTCAACTCCCGATGCCATCTTATGTTTTGGATTCTCACTGGATTTGAATCCGATCTGCAGCTTAACGCTAATTTATGACTGAATCCAAAAATTGATACTCGAGACCATACCGACTTTAGTAATGATGATCGAGGCTAGGCCCAAATTTCAAAGGCTAATATCTCGGTTCAGTGTGGAGCAATTTGACTGAATGAATTTTTTAACATATTCCCTTACATTATTACGCGCAAGCGAATTATGTAAATAAAATTAAACCATGTTAGTCCCGAAATGACCTAGTTTGTGTCGAGTGGACGTTAAACCCCATTTCTCTCTCGCTCTCTCCCTTACATTATCTAGTTATTAACTCTTATACCGAATTCCAACTGCCAGGGGATCTTTTACATGCACGCCAATGTATGCACGGGACCTCGGCTGCTTGTCCCATCAGAACGACTAGACAGCTGTCTTTGTCAGGCTGTCTGTCCTGCAACACTGACAAGGGGAAACCACGTCGGAAACTTAGCCACCGTGGCTATCTATTTATCTAAAAGAAAGTGAACAGCCTAAGGTTTTAAAACAGTCGTGTCATACATAATACATCTTAACACACTCGGTACATAGAGGTTGGATGACCGAATCGTATTATTGAGTCAACTAGCGTGGTTTCGATTCCCCGCTTGTACGTGACACGGAGTAGTGACGCCTGTCTAACCTCGTGGGTTTTCTCCGGGTCCTCCGCTTTCCTCCTACTGCTAAAGACCCCTACGCGTAAGCGAATTATGGAAATAAAATTGAACCATATTATTATGTTAGTCCCGAAATGACCTAGTCTGTGTCAAGTTGACGTTAAACCCCATTTCTCTATCTCTCTCATATTACAGTATGTCTATAGAGCATATATAGCTGTCACACAAAAGTGAATAATATTAAGAACGAAAAGTTTGAATCCATGTATCTTCACGTATCAATTGTTTTTATAGAGTGGCATGGTGGCATAAAGTGTGAAATAGAAACACACGCTATCTTCTTCATCATTCCACGTGAATAACTTGTCATGACATATCGTCTGGTGGAACACATATTGAACTGTAATAATGGGAATTGACTTGACGTATAACGCCTTCATTTAACATACATCATTTCAACACGTCACTATGATTACGTCATCTCCACGTGACGCCTTTTCTAACGGCGGTTGATGGGAGTACAGTATAAAGGGGTCGTTTGATTGTCAAAAAACTTTGTCGACGATATCACCTTAGGTGGAAGTGGACGTAAAACACCAGAAACGAACGAAACGAACGAACGTCAAAAAACTAAATCTTAAATCTAGAATCATTTCGAAGATTGGAGCCAAAAACAAACAGTTTAACAAATTTCAATTTTATTTCACGCAATGTTACGTCTTTAGTTCGGTTAGGCCTAAGTATAGGTGGGACGCGGGGTTGATAACCGGGTGGTTAGCGCGTGCGCGCTGCGACATAAGGTCTGTCATTGAGTCATCTAGCATGGTTTGCATTTCCCGGTTGTACGTGACAAGGAATAGGGTCGCCTTTCCAACCTCGTGGGTTTTCTCCGGGTCCTCGGTTTCTTCCTACTGCTAAAGACCCCACCGCGCAAGTGAATAATTGAAATAAAATTGAACCATGTTAGTCCCGAAATGACCTAGTTTGTGTCGAGTGGACGTTAAACCCCGTTTCTCTGTCCCTCCCCACAATGTATAGGACGTCGCAGTTCTAAATCCATACAGTAGTTAGAACTTGTTATCATTCGTGTTGTACTTCTGTTTTCAGATTCACCGTACCGAGATAAGTTATCCATGGCCATATTAGAACTACAGGAGAATGGTCGTATCCAGATGCTTTACAATAAATGGTGGAAATCAACAGGAACGTGTACCAGGGATGACCAGAAAGATCAAAAAGCCAATGCTTTAGGTGTAGAAAATGTCGGGGGTATATTCGTCGTTCTGTTGGCGGGCCTAGCTCTAGCTGTCATGGTGGCCATGTTTGAATTCATATGGAAGTCGAGAAAGAATGCTGAGAAAGATAGGGTAAGTGTGTTGTATCTAACGATAGGGTAAGTGTGTTGTATCTAACGATAGGGTAAGTGTGTTGTATCTAAAGATAGGGTAAGTGTGTTGTATCTAAAGATAGGGTAAGTGTGTTGTATCTAACGATAGGGTAAGTATGTTGTATGTAACGCAATTTATACAGTTAGTTTTCCCGCCGTTGGTGTTCAATGGCCTTAATAATTTACAGTTAGATTGTCGTTTCAGAGGACGCTTATTGCTACCGCCCCCCCCCCCTCCCGGATCATTGAACTTGATATGTTTATTTCTTCTAATGTCCATGTTTGTCTTGTCCGCGGGTTTGTCTTGTTGTCTTGTCCGCAGGTTTATCTTGTCGGTGCTCCTATACTTACTAATAGTGGTGAAAGCCACGGATGTTAGACTTAATGATCCAGACACTTACCCTAACCCTATATTGGTCAGCAAGGATTATCACGTCTGTTTATAAAGAGTTTTTACACATGCCTCACAAAAATACACCACAGTTGATTCCGAATTAAGACTTTAATGCTTAGTTATTTCCCTTGACCGATCTCTATCTCAGCTGAATCAAAACGGTGGAGTGGGGGGATGCGTCAAGTCGTTGGAATAGGGCGGAAATCCGAGGTCCGGTGTAGAGAGATCCCCTGCTCTTTTATAGAATTCAACTGCCAAGGGTTATTTTACGTGCACGCCAATGTACACGGAACCTAGGTGTTCGTCCTATCCAATGGACTATACCTTGCCCTGCACTACTGACAAGAGATAACCACGCCGGAAAATCCAGATGAACAACACCGGGGTCGGACACCTGACTTCCACGTCTTACTCATGCTAGGTTTCCACTGTCGTGTGATGCGTTGCGATAGGATTGTCCCTATGGAATCCTCGATCTGGTAAATGCAGACACATTCGGATACGTTTCGATACGATCAACACGATTGCTACGACTGACCACAATATATAATAAGACCTGATAGGATCACCACGATTACTTCAAGATTAAAACCACGATTTCAATCGTAGCGTGTGAATCGTGATAGTGGGAACCTAATAGCAACGCCGAGTATTTAAATCCTAAATTTTCCGATTTCATATTTGTTTACAAGTATTAGTTTTGTATTTTTATTTGATAGTGGTTATCTTAATATAAATTCATTTCAGCAGTCATTGTGTTCAGAAATGGCGGAGGAGCTCTCATTTGCAGTGCGTTGCCATGGTTCTGCAGTAAAACCAAAATATAAAAACAATTGTAAGAAATGTGTGAAGGGAAGTGACGGCAAAGATCACGGCGTGGCAGGGTCATCGAATTCACCAAATGGCATCATTCAGTTAAAAGAAGTTCGTAAATCGCCATTACCGGGTCGCGAATTCGAAACGGAATTTCGGCCTGGGTATTCCAAAGACTTTAATGGTGACTATCTGCACGTGGAGTTTAGTGACCAGGATTCTTGAAACAGGTAATAAGTTCAATTATTGGACCAATCAGATTACAGTATAAAGGGTGATGGAGATGACGTAATCAATTCCTAAATATAGAATCACTTTAAGCAGATGACGTCAGTGAAATGCTATTACTAGCTGAAAACGTCATAAAAAGTAACTACGCCTAAGACCACGTACGTAACGCTATGATTCCGGTGATAATGACGTCATCTACTCTATTCCGCTCTTTTTATGGGAGATTACCAACAGTCAAGGTCACAGCATTTGGCAACATTCGTATCAAACATCTATTAAGCTTAATTAGTTTTATTTTGTTTTTCTTGTGTGTGTGAAAGGGCACAAGTTTTATTGCATCATTCGTTTAATGATACAAAAGATACGACGCCGATGCTGAATTTATTAATGGATGGTTAATGCGAAACTGTGGTGCTGTAGCGGGGTGGTAACATAAGATTCAGTGCCTTAGCAACGAAACCCCGTATGCAACAAGGACAAGGCTCCGAGGATAAAATTCACGGATGCAGTGCTAACAATTGCGATGATGTAACCTAGCAACGAATCGAGCAACAAACAGAAGTTATTTGCATATCAAAAGAGACAAAATGTTATCAATACGCATGCGTGTGTGATCATATACAATTTAAGTCTGATAACGAGATACTAAAAGAGCATGTAACATGGCGAGTGCTATGACGTATCAGGATAAAATGACGTAACGTTTTGTTATGCCTTGATTATCCAGACAGTATTATTCATAAGAACATCAACAGTTTTTTTTCCACATTAGACACTCGCTTTCATGCAACACATATTTTTGAAAGCATTTTGTAAAATTTTAAGCACAAAATGAAAATCATTCCAATTAATGGATCTTTATGCTAATGTGTTTGTAATTAATTGATATATAATTTTGAATATAGATAGTATTAGTTATGTTCCTTTATATTCCGGTTAACCCCCCAGTCATTAACTAATTAACTGGTTAAACCCACTTACACAGTATTGACGGTGTTTAGAACACGGGTGGGTTGTCCAGCCTAATTATCTCCCTTGGTCAGATTCCTAACTTTATCGCGGCCTATTATAGGCTCTGATATCCCTGAGACACCTATAATAATTAAATGTGATTTCAGTGCATTCGTTAAAGAGCATGTCCCCAAAACAGGCGCATTGATAGATATAGGGTTCTAATACCCGTAAAAAGGGGGATGTCGTAGGAAAAAGACCGAAGGGGATAGTGAGGCCAGAATTCATTGATAAATGCACGTTTACCCCCACTAAAATCTAAATCTATTAATATATTTCTTATTAAAATAAACGAAAGGGTTTTCTAAAACCTGGATATTATGATTTCTGTAAATTACAAAGGCAGAAAACAAATTACTGCGTCACCGTCGCCATCATAATTCCCACTTCACCCTCCCCATCCGTATTGGTGCAAGATACCCTTAAGACTCGAGACACTTCTTACTTGATAACCAAGACTCAAAATGATGCACCAATGAACTACCAGTTATCATAGGCATAAGTGTCGTGGAATGTATTTTACCCCACCCTTTTTACTAAATACGATGTATTATATGTATATTTAAGTGTTATTATGCTGTGGTGTAAATGATAATAATGAATTAAATTATTACTAGTATGTAATCATATTGATAAAGGCGCGGGTTATTCGCCGATACCTGGATTATTCTGTATATAATTCTGTATGTTTGTAGAAAGAATATGCACAAGTGTGATTTTATTATTTGACACATTTTCAGATTTAATAGATTTTCAAATATCATTTATTTTTTCTAAAATATCGCTTTTGTAATATTGAATTTTTGTCATTTTATCAACCATCTTGTATTTTTGCTATTTATTTCAGTAAATTGGTTTTATTTTGTAATTTTTTAAAGAACCCGGAGCAAAGTCGTCTCTTGCGTAATTCCTGAATTTTACTTTACCTTTACTGCGATGGACATATATTGTGTCCCTCTGATCTGTTTTAAATTCTTGTATTCCCCGGTTTAACGAATGAAAAACACAGACGATATTATAATGTCAAAATCAATAAGTATATTTTAAGGATGTACATGACCAAAGACTGGTTAATGACGACACATTATTCTCCTTAGCAGCTAATTGCTAAATGAATAAGACTGGGAAGAGCCGACTACATCCAAATTAAAGTTTTACGACATACCTGCTCCTGGCTCTTTAAAGATTACAGTTTTTAAAAGATATGTTTTTTTTGTTCCATTGTTTTTCATCTTTTGATTTATATTTATTGAGGTGAACTACATTTATTGTATTACAAGAGACAGTTTTACTGTTCCTATTCGATAATACAATAAAGTTCATATATATGTTGGATAATATGGAAATGCCAAAGGTAAGCCAAAGTTCCCATTTGATTACAGTGTAATCCTGTCATTAAGACCATTTAATAAAATTGGTCTTAACAGGGTGGTGGTCTTTAAACTGAGTTGGATTACAAGAGAGTTTTACTGTTGCTGTTCGATAATACAATAGATTTCATACATATCTTAGATAATATGGAAATGTCAAAGTTCCCATTAGATTACAGTTTAATCCTGATATTACGACCATTTAATAAAATTGGTCTTAACAGGGTGGTGGTCTTTAAACTGAGTTGGATTACAAGAGAGTTTTACTGTTGCTGTTCGATAATACAATAGATTTCATACATATCTTGGATAATATGGAAATGTCAAAGTTCCCATTAGATTACAGTTTAATCCTGATATTAAGACCATTTAATGACATTGACCTTAACAGGGTGGTGGTCTTTAAACTGAGTTGGATTACAAGAGAGTTTTACTGTTGCTGTTCGATAATACAATAGATTTCATACATATCTTGGATAATATGGAAATGTCAAAGTTCCCATTAGATTACAGTTTAATCCTGATATTAAGACCATTTAATGAAATTGACCTTAACAGGGTGGTGGTCTTTAAACAGAGTTGGATTACAAGAGAGTTTTACTGTTGCTGTTGGATAATACAATAGATTTCATACATATCTTGGATAATATGGAAATGTCAAAGTTCCCATTAGATTACAGTTTAATCCTGATATTAAGACCATTTAATGAAATTGACCTTAACAGGGGGGATGGTCTTTAAACCGAAAATGCCAAAGTTCCCATTAGATTACAGTGTAATCCTGATTTTAGGACCATTTAATATAATTGGTCTTAAAAGTGGAGTGGCCTTTAAACTGAGTTGAAATTCCGGGATTCGATATACATCTATTATAAGACAATAGCGATTGACCCGGCGTAGCTCCGGTTTAGCTGTGAACCGGAAGTAACATCACCAGGCCTATGTTCCTCTCCGGTTCAAGATACCTCTATACACCAAATTTCTGCAGCGGGGCAAACGACAGTCACAAATATTAGTATAGATTGTAGTCACACCTAAGTCTCATTAATACATCCAACCTCGTGGGTTTTCTCCGGGCCCTCCGGTTTCCTCCCACTGCTAAAGACCCCTACGCGCAAGCGAATTATTGAAATAAAATTAAACCATATGTTAGTCCTGAAATGACCTAGTCTGTGTCGAGTGGACGTTAAACCCCATTTCTCTCGCTCTCTCTGGTCTCGTGACAGTCAATACTTTTATGAATAGTTGGATTTCGAACTAATGTTCTCTTCTAATCTCAACAGGAAATATCAATGCACTGGAAATCGTCTGTGTGGCTGTTACCGCTCGGAAACATAGAAGACTTTTTCGGTGTTCTAATCGGGAGTTTGGGTGGGTGAATGGTAGGTCTGTCATTGAGCCAACTGGCGTGGTTTCGATTCCTCGGTTCTACGTGACAAGGAGTAGGGTCGCCTGTCCAATCTCGTGGGTTTTCTCCGAGTACTTCGGTTTCCCCCCACTGCTAGACACCTACGGGCAAGCGAATTATTGGAATAAAATTGAACCATATGTTATTCCCGAAATGACCAAGTTTGCGTCGAGTGGACGTTAGTCTCTCTTTCTCTCCCCTCTCTTCTCTCTCTCTCTATAAAATGTAATGTTATAGCTATATTTGGAATATGTTTAATATAAGTAAAATTTGTGGGCACTAATATACAGAGATGGTTCAACCACATTATTTTATTTAATGAAATTTAATAAAGCACTTTGTAATTATTTTCAAAGCCTCTGTGAGTCCTATCGAATTTTTCACGGCTTAATATCATCATATCATTGTAAATACTGAACATTAATTGAAAAACTTGTGGAATTAATTTCCTTTTTATATGAGATTAAACCATCACAAATTTATGATTTGGCGAGGGATGCCCAATCCCTCAATTGGTGTTCACAGACTTTAATTGGTGAACACAAGTATTATCCTATGATCGCTACTAAAGATCTCCACCTAATTATTCTCGGCATCCCCTGTGGTATCGTTCCGTTCTACTCCGATAACCCCTGGATCCATTCACAGGGGAGACACATAGTCAAATTATCTGCCCTTGATACTTCTACTATTTATATAGATCAATCAAGTGAGCGAAAGATTTCGATCAAGATTATTGTGCGGAACGTAAACAATGACGCTAAGTCTGGGCCCTGTTTCTCGAAATCATAACTAAAGATAAAATCCAAATTTTAGTAGATACTTCAATTTTGATCGGCTAAGCACTAAAATCAATCTAATATTACCCAATCAATTTACTAAAATTTGAATTTTATCTTAGTTCAAATTTCGTGAAACAGGCCCCAGGTCTGTAAACTGTTGAATAGTTCGTAGGATCAAGCTACGATAAAGGGAAGATAATTTAAATTCGTGAAAACCCCGTGGATGGACCAATGGGTTAGTGGAGTAGACCGGGACCATGCCACTGGGGATACAGATAATGCCACCTAATCAGATCTGTAGATATATCAACCTGATTGTTTGAAGAGGTTAAATAGTCCACGGGTGCAAGAGTCCACCGCTATACAACATATTGTACATATGGGAATAGCAAAAGAACCAACACGGTCTACTGAATAAATTGTTTCAATGGCATTTAGTAATTGAACTGGAGTCTACAGGTCACAATTCTATGGAATACATTTACTGCTTATTGTAATTGTATTCCATAGAATTGTGACCTGTATACGATCTCCTGAAGGTTCTGCACGATTTGTCAAGGTCAAGGTCAACAGCCATTGAACCATGACAATAACACTAACACACGACCGAATGAACATTTCCCGAATGTTTAGAAAAAAGAAAGTATCTTAATATGTTGAATCACTTTGTTGACATGGATTAGGCAAAAAAGAAAAAAAGAAAAAAGAATTTTAATTAGTATTTCGTGTACAAAAATGTAGCCCATAGGTTTTAATTGATTTAAATAATAATAAGAATGACAAATAATATTGTTAATGATGTCTTTCCAATTTGAATAATTTTGTAAAATTTAAAGATTGTTTTATTTTGTTTTATTCATATATTTTAGTTTTTATTTTAGTTTTGTATGAATGAACCGACGATTGTCGCATTATGTGTGATTTAGACTGTAAATAATGCAAGAACAAATAAATTTTACATGAAAAACTGAATTGTGGATTATTTCAGTTGTGCATCAATTCACAGATTAGCATTAGCATTGCCGAACTTGGAGGATGCCAATGGGAGTGGGTATTTTTTTAGTCGTGCCGAACTGGGAGACTGCACGGGGGAGTGGGTGGGTTTTTTTTTATTTAGCAGTGCCGAACTGGTAGGATGTCCGGGGAGTGGGTATTTATTTAGCAGTGCAGAGCTGGGAAGATTCCCGAGGAGGGGGGGGGGGGTATTTTCTTAGCATTGCCGAACTTGGAGGATGCCCGGGGGAGTTGGTAGGGTATTTTTTCAGCAGTGCCGAACTGGGAGGATGCCCGGGGAAGGGGGTACTTTGCCGAACTGGGAGGATACCCGGGGAAGGGGGTATTTTTTTTAGCAGTGCCGAACTGGCAGGATGCCCGGGGAGGGGGTATTTTTTTAGCCGTGCCGAATTGGGAGGATGCCCGGGGAAGGGGGTACTTTGCCGAACTGGGAGGATACCCGGGGAAGGGGGTATTTTTTTTAGCAGTGCCGAACTGGCAGGATGCCCGGGGAGGGGGTATTTTTTTAGCAGTGCCGAATTGGGAGGATGCCCGGGGGAAGGCGTATTCTTTTTAGCAGTGCCGAACTGGAAGGATGTCAGGGACAGCGGGTATTTTTTCCACAGTGCTGAACTGGGAGGATGTCCAAGGGAGTGGGTATTTTTTTAGCAGTGTCGAATTGGGAGGATGCCCGGGGCAGGGGTTATTTCTTTTAGCAGTGCCGAACTGGGAGGATGCCAGGGGGAGCGGGTAATTGTTTTTAGGGGCTATACGAATTGTATGACAAAAACAAAATAGTGTGTAAAATATATGCTCTTCCTAGATAGATCAGAGGAGAAAGGGGTGTCGACTGAAATAACTCTTCTGGTACGACTGGGCTAATGAAGACGGACATACGCCATACAGTGTGCTATGAGGGAAATTTTGCCCGGACAGCGGCACTATGACCTACTCTTATATCGAATTCCACTGCCAAGGAATCTTTTACCGGCACGCCAATGTATACACGGGACCTCGGTTTTGCGTCCCATGCGAACGACTAGACAGCTGTCCTTGTCAGGTCGACTGTCAGCAATGTGGTGTGTGGCGGTTAACCATTCTGCACACAGAACTCCCTACTTCGAGAATAGATCTCTTCTCTAAATAACAACCATATCGAAACAATACTTTTTTATAATGCGGTTCTACTCTGTTTCACATCTGTCACACACACACATACACAAATCAAATAAAACCATTGCAATTTTATTAAATGGGAGCGTTTATGATTTTTTAGAGGCATTTAGATAAATCAGTAAACTATAACACATACTTATGGGAGGACAATTACTGTTTTATTTAGGCGACGTTTCGAAGAGTATTCTCTTTACGTTTTCAAGCAAGTAGGTTTCGAAGAGTATTCTCTCAGTTTTTTCAACAACGTAAGTTGTCGGATAACTAGACGTTTTACCGAGGTCATGATGCTACGGTGTGTAAACTGTGGTCTAAAAGGCAATCCTTCTTAATACCAATATTCGTAAATCTTAGTCCCAAAATATCGATAAAATTACGAGGACGCCATATTATTAGTAATCCTGCAATTTGACCTGGAAAGCTGTGAGAACGCGACTTTTTTCTCGCGTTGTGTTCACGTTTGCCGGCGACCTTGGGCATTTTCTGGTTGCCATACGGTCGCAGACGCGCAGTAAGGACGCCACTCCGATCTGACGGGGGCATAAGGTGGAGGGGCCTCAGTCCGAATTATAGCGAGGGTCCCTTAAAACCATAATCTGGCTCTGGTAATAGTAGGTTGTTCTGGCATTGGAAATAAGAAATGAAGAGCCCAGGGGAAGAACGATCTAAGTCACATTTTGGACTTTACGTATAAAAGGCAAAACAGACTTTTGGACGAGAATGCGTGACGCGAATAGAGCAACGAGTGGGTTTAATTACAACTTCAAAATGATGTTTAATACGAATCACAATTAGCAGTACAACAACTGACTTCCACTTTTCAGCCAAATTAAGGTCAAACAAGGGGTTTGATGAAAGTATTTGTCCGGGAAGCCATTTCAGAAGGGCCTTGGTTCGATGTGACTCCGATCTTTTTTACCTGAAACTTATACAATTTGCTACCAGATGGCGCCATTTACTGGGGTTCATTGAAAACGTGACTTAGATCGTTCTTCCCCGGGGCTCTTCAAATAGTATCCAGGCAAAATTTAAATTACAGCCCACTGCATGGTGTATGCCCGCCTCCATTATCCCAGTCAGTGCAGACAAGTAGAACGTTAAACATTGTTTCATTTCATCTTACGTTACACGCACCAAGACAAAATCCCACGTGCCAATAAAAAAGAATTTCACAGGGAATAACGTGGGTATATAGCTATAGACGCGGCTGCATGTGGATTCAGAGAAAATGTAAAGTTGCAAAAAGTGTAAAAACAAAGATAATCGGCAAATGCATACGTACATACCAGTCCATAGTGTGTTGGTAATTGTTATTTTAGTCAATGCGGGTCAAGAGAATTTTGCCCGGAAAGCGGCATTTTGGCCAGCTGTCATTGGTTCCTTTATGTGCATGCAAATGCCTACACGAGTAAACCACGGCTTTCGTCTCATTCGAAGGACTAAGTTAAGGCCGGCCTTGAAAAATTTCAATGGTTCTTCTCTCCCCACCCTTGTATTGGAACCTATAACATTCTACACGGCATAGTTCTTCAGATGGGACGAAAACCCGAAGTCACGTTTTCACGTTGGAGTGCACGTAAACTAACCCATGACGGTTTGAATTCGAAATAAGAGTAAGTCGTAGTCTGGGCAAACTTTCCCTCATAACACACTGGATAGCGTATGCCCGTCTTCATTAGCCCAGTCGGAGCAGAACATTAGAACGCTAAACTCGATTCCATTTCAACCTCGTGGGTTTTCTCCGGGTCCTCCGGTTTCCTCCCACTGCTTAAGACTCCTAGGCGTAAGCGAATTATTAAAATAAAAATAAACCATATGTTAGTCCCTAAATGACCTAGTCTGTGTCGAGTGGAAGTTAAACCCCATTCTTTCTCTCTCTCAATTCCATTTCAGTTCATAACATTGTACTCGCGTATCCAGTACGCCCTGAGCGCTTTTTGAACTTAAATCCATTAATGATATCTCGTTTGGCTTCTCTCTTTTTTCCACGCCCTTCTTTCATGTAAGTTTCTTTACAAAATACAAGCTTTTCCTTTTATGGTCACAGAAGGAGAGTGTGGCTGAATCTAATACCGACCTTTTAAAAGAAATTCAAATATGTCGTTTAAAAAAATCCCCTTTAATGTCTTATGATTTGCATATTGTTTCGAAATTTTATAAAGGATTAAATTTGTTAAGAAAAAAATAATACTGCTATCATTTCAGATTTCACCATCACGTAAAGCAAAACAACTCTTTTTATCTGAACTAAACATCTTGTTTGCTTAAAAAGAAAGACACTCCTGGACATTTCTGTCTATTTTTATGCTTTGTAGTTGTCGTAAATAGAATTTGTCGTCGTTAACAGCAAAGCAAACGGAAAACGTCTCTCGTCGTTGCTCTGACATGAAACGGAAGTTAATGGATTCGTGCGGAAATGTACCCATTGAGGTTGACCGAATGACATGTGGCGAGGGTTGTTTCAAATCAATCGCACTGCCGAGTGATTTATAGTTTGATTAGCAACCATTGTGAAGCCACGGTAAATTACATCTGACCGAACTACGGTAATATTTTACTCTCCTCTCCACTGAGATCAAAATGGCCATCGACTTCCGTCTTTCAACTTGAAGTGGTGGGTTTTTTTATTATAGCAAAAATAGTTTCTTTTTAACTAATTTAGTTAATGGATAAAGTGTCCGTGTGTCCATATAATGGAGCTCTTTTGTGATAGAAAAGTTCATTGGGTGTAACGTGTTTAATATTAATGGACTGTTTGAAAAGAATAAGAGGAATCGGTGTTGAGCAAGCCACTTGTGAAATTGGATCGACTGGAACCAGGAACGTGTGAAAAATATTTATAAAGATAATACAGAAACATTAAGGGGGCTGGTAGTTCTCGCTGTAATAGTTTAAAAAAATGGTAACATAAATAGAATATGCTGAAAATTTCATTCAAATTGCTCCACTCTGAACCGAGATAATAGCTTTTGAATGTATGGCTAGTCTCGATCACCATTACTAAAGTTGGTACGATAAAAAAAACAAAGTCTTTTTATTATCCATATTTCTGTTTAATTATTGTTCAAAAAAATGTATTCCAATCCACTAAATCTCACAGGCTAGCTTTGACATCGAGAGTTGATTATGGTCTGGATTAGTTAATTAATTAATATTTTAGAAAACATTTCAGGCCTAAAGAAAGATCTACAATAGGCAGATTTAACTCTTGAATAATGCTAATATGACGTTTCATAGGCAGTGGCTAAAAGTGTTGTCCGGACAAACTTCTATCTCGCATGAAATGGGGTTTAACGTCTTAGCAGTGTACCATGAATGACCATTTGCAGTTACAGCCTACCTGTATTTAGGTTTCTAAATGTTAGGTGGCTAAGTGGGTAAGACGCTGGCACGCTAATCTGGAGGTCGGGTGTTCGATCCGTGCATTGGCCGAGAAAGTTCAAACAGGTTTTCCGGCGTGGTCCCCCCTTGTCAGTGATGCAGGCCCTGCGTCTAATCATTCGGATGAGACGAAAACCGAGGTCCCGTGTGCACATTGGCGTGCACGTAAAATATCCATTGACAGTTGGAATTGGATATAAGTGTAGGCCGTAGGGCCGCTGTCCGGGCAAAATTTCCCTCATCGTACATTAACCCAGTTCGGAGCAAAACAGTAGGACGTTAAACCCCATTTCATTTCATTTAGTGAATCGGCGACTTTCTGAAGTTTCTCGAAGAGCCCTCATGCTTCCTACTAAAAGAGAATTAAAAAGTATGGATGGATATTGGCCGTAAACAGTACATTT